GCCGTGATCGGCGTAAAGCTGTAGTAGTCGATCACCAATGTCAGTTCTGCGAGTGTCATCGTCGTGTTGACCACCAAATTCACGTTCGTCAACTTCAAGTCTACCGACCTGAGCGTTCAAGTCCCCGGCGATCACCACGTTGTCAGTATGGCGCTGTTTACGGAGGTCGGCCAGTTGACCATAGAACTCATCTTTAACTGACTCCGGGCTGCAATCTGTGGGAGCGTACGCTGCGGCAATGAATAGACAGCGACTGCTGGCTTCGCGCCTGGACGGTCGCACTGAAGTTTCAAGTCGGATCGCGGATAGTCAACTGTTAATAGGGATCTAGTCTAGTAGCGCGAACTCAGCACATGTGCTCAACACAATCCTCAAGCCAGCATAAACAACGGCTTTGGCGGTTAAGTCTCCAGATAGGCGCAAAGTGAAAATGCCAGTGCAACTCGCAAACGGGGAAACTAGTCGCAGCGTCGTGCTAGTGTCCTGTAAACGGGTCTCGCTGAGACAGCAGACATCAATGGCCGTAGTTTCTATAGTGGGAGCGAGGGCTGCCTGTGATCCAATCTGCATCACCGTCCGAACATTGAAAGTTGCCAGCTTGAATTGGAAACGGGGCGCTACAAATGACTTGTCAACACGACTTGGCGCATTTTCGCACCTAGGCTCCTGATCCGCAAAGCGAGAAGGTTCGCCCAAGGCGGCATGATGCTGTGAATTCGAAAACGGAGGGGAAGACCAAGAATGGGGGTTGAACAAACGTGGAATAAAGTGATTAAACGGTGGTGTGGTAAAAGATGGTTTGGCAAGTTCAGCCACCAGAACCTCGGTCGATGAGAGCAGATAGAGCGAGAGTGAAAGGAGCGAGTGAAGAATTGTTGTGGCATGGATGCATAGATTGTGTGGGCAAAGTACTTCCCGGTTGCCCAGGCTGAGGAAGAGGGTTGACATAGGGGACCCTACCCGGAACTTTGGATCGTAAAGACCTAAACCGCAAGTCAACGGGGCGATTGACGTATACCGCGACCGTTGGGAGCCGGCTCTCTAAGTGAACGGCTTTCGAGCAGAGGCAAACTACTCAGGGAGCCCAAAGAGCCACAGTGAAGCAGCAAGGACTACTGAGCTCGCCGCAAAGCGCGATGGCCGTTGACAGCCGGGTGGCTCATACGCCTTCCTAGAAGACGGTAGCCGTCCAGGTTGTTCATTCGTCCTCCGGTAAGTACTCAGTTCTGTGACCAGAAGTGAGTTGTCAGTGTCCTTAAAGCCGGTCACATTGGCTCTGACACAGCGCCCAACGAGCTCTTGTGGTATTTAATGAGGAACCAGGTGACCAGCCCACAACTTCCCACGCTCTAGAACGCTGCCGCTGATTGTCAGCGACTGCTTATTCATCTCGTCCGCGAACAGCCGAGACTTATTCACAGTAACCTTCAAAAGGAAGGTGTTCCCCGATCCACAACCTTGGGACGCGCCCGGTGGCGTACGGCTCCGCCGAACCAACCAGTAGTCAGTTCACTTCCAGTAATTGTGAAGAGTACTTGTGCGCCTCCAAATTGACATTGCCTCAGATATCACGGTCATTTCCGAAGAAACGAAGAAGAAAATCGGTGAAACGCATCTAGAAAAAAAATCGGGTTGTTACCAATGCTTTAGGAGTGTTGAACATGGTCGGTGAATTTCCCGCTCTGTAATATTTAAGGATTGTACTTTCGAAGGGGGTTTTCTATATAACAGGACACCCCAACCTGAACTTAGTTGGTCACAGCTGGATTGAAAATATGAAACTGCTTGAATTCCGTATGTAACAACTTAAGCGACGCATCTTTGAATTGGACAGAGATCCTGTAGAGGAATTATTCATAAGTGTTGAAAGATAGTGCAGGATTGTGCCCAAAGACGAAACCCAGTTTGTTTAAGCGGTCAGATGCGAAGCCAGTCTTCCGATCAAAGTGACTAGCTCTCTATGAAGTCGTTTCAATCGCCGAACAAGAACTTGTCAGACTACAGTCAGCTGGAGTGATCAAACCCATCACTTACTCTTCGTGGACAGTTCCTATTGTGATCGTCAAGAAACCAAATGGAAGGATTCGTCAATGTGCAAATTATTCTACTGGCTTGGATGCTTCGTTAGAGCAGCCCAAGCATCCTCTACCCCTGCCTGAGGATATTTTTGCTCGTTTAAAGGGTGGTAAAAGTGTTGCAAACTAGACTTTTCTGACGCGTATCTTCAGATCGAATTAGCAAAAGAATCCCGGGAGTTGCTAATGATAAACACCCATGGTGGATTATTTCAGCATACTCGTCTGCTATTTGGTGTTAAGTCGGTCCAAGCAATTTTGCAGCAGATCATGGGTACTATGCTGCAAGGGATACCACATGCCGCAGCCTATCTGGATGATGTCGTCATCATGGGATTCGACTCAGAGGAATTGCGCTAGCGAACGGAACATGTGCTTGACAGAATAAACGAACATGGATTCCGATTGAGTGTGTGAGTTCGTTATGACGTCAATTAAGTATTTTGGTTTTATCACTGATCGAAATGGGCGACGACCGGCTCCGGCGAACGTCAAAGCGATCAAGAGGATGTCTCAACCTAAGGACGTGGCGACTTTAAGATCATTCATTGGTATAGTGAGTTAATACAGT